TCTTTGGGTGGAAATGAGGATGAGTTCCTCAAGGGGGTATTAACACTGTTTTACAATCTCAAACTTCAGTCCCCTTGGTTCTCATTTGACATTACAGGGATAAGCTCATTGTCATTTGCCGTTGAAACGTCAGAGCATGCAAGACTATGGGCCAAATGCTAAAAACTGGGATGAGAACAGATGGGAGTTTGATAATCTGCGCTGACACGATGGGCCGAATGGTCGTCTTCTACGCTGTAAAAATTCAAGGATGGAGAAACTGATCTGCAGTGAACATGGTCACAAATGAAATGCAAAACCAGTGTCATTGCGAAAACGCACCACACCTTCTGTCCCTTTCACTGGTGGTCTTGTGGATAAGATTCGGCCCACTCGTCGCCCTGGCCCAGCTTCGATTCCTAGTCAGGGAATAAATACTCTGATGTATTATTTTATCGTGGTGAGAGCACTTCTTAACTGGGAGATGGAAGGTGAACTGTTTAGTCCCAGACATGACTCAGATTAAAATAAAACAAAGAACTGTGGAAATATAACACAAAAAAAGAAATTGATATGGAAGCTCAGCAGGTCTGGCAGCATCTGTGTAGAGAAAGAGTTAACGTATCAGGTCCTGTGACTGTTCGTCAGACTCAGGTTACATATGCATTTCTGTCGTATAATGCCGGGTTAAATTATTGGCTTTATCTATCAAATCAACATATTACTCAAAATTGCTCTCTCTCATTAGCTTACAACCGTCAACTTTTCAACTTCAAAGGGATTTCATTGGCTCTAATTCTGTTTCCGTTCCCCTAGGTGGTGAAAGACTCTGCTTAAATGGTTCCTTTTTCTTTTCCTTTGTGTCAATTCGCAGTCATGTTGAATGGAGAATTGGTTCTTTCAGTGTCTACCTCAATTTGTGTCTCTATTTGTCTCTCTTTGTCTCTGTGTATCCACCTCACCCCCTTTCACGTTCTCCGACTCTCCTTCTGTCAATATCCCTGATTTCCCATTCCTGCCCTGTGTAAAGTCAGAAATTTGAAGATAATTTGAGAGTGCAGCTGCTGGGAGGCTTTTTTCTCCTGGCTGGAGTGTCTAGAACTGTGCTCACATTCCCTGGATAATGTGTCTGTCACGTAGGACGGAGATAACGAGACATTTCTTCTCTCAAAAAATTATGAATCTTTAGAATTCGAAATAAAGTTCCGAATCTGTCAGAAAAAAAAAAGTCCACCACAATTATAGGATTATAGTGATGTCTTTCCTGTTGGTGTAAACTGAATGAATGGCGACAGCAGAGAATGAGGGTGATCAGCTCATTCTGTCTGTGGCATTACCACAACATTCCCCGCTAAATCTGCAGTTTATTCTGCCTCACCTCTTTATTCCTGCCAAACTGGGAACGAAGGGCTGAGAATAGAAGAAAAGGAGAAGCAGACGTGCTTGTGGAACAGCAGAAAAGAACTTCATGATAATCTAGCAGAAAAAGAGGAGATGCTGAAGCAGCCTCCTGACAACAAATGAGTTTTCTTAGCTGGTAAAATTCACCGCTTCACTAAGCGGGAACCATTGAAGTGAAACAGTGACGGTGATTATCTTTGCTTGTTTTTCACCTTGTGTCCACCAAACTATTGCTGCTCATGTCCCTGTTAACACCACAACCCTGCCACATGTAAGCATTGTGCATACATGGGTCCAGTGGCACAATGGATAACGTATCTAACTACAAATCAGGTGATTGTACATTCGACTCCTACCTGACTCAAGTGTAATTCACAAATTATTTACACTTCCAAATTAATCTTCCTCATTGCCCTGAAACTGAGATGAGCTTTGAATTCCTGACCTGCTGGAACAAGAATCCTTTCAATGTCTCACATCAGTAAATGTCACCAAGAATATCAGAAGAGGGGAAGCTGAAGTCGTCTCCCAAGCTGCCGGGAATGGAAAGGAAACAAAACAAAAAATGAAACCAGTCTCAACTTTGTGAGTCTTTGGGAAGCTGAATCAGAGGAGAATGAAGGTGAACTTTCCAACTCTGCAGAGACAGTCGAGGAAGCTTCCCCTTCTTTAAGAGGCTGGGACATTGACTCTGATGTTCACGGGGACATTAACTGACCTGAGACACTGAAAGGATTCCCGTCAGAGACTGCTGTGTGTTTGATTTTGTTACTGTCAGGAACAATAAATCCTGATCCCCTGACCGGAAATCAAACCCTGGCCACGGCAGTGAGAGCACCAAGTTACAACCACTAGACTAAAAGCGATGATAGTGGAAATCAATGTTTTTTTTTCTTACTGACACAGCATTTGGCCTTGTTACTGAGTTTATACAGCATGGAAAGAGGCCCATCATCCCAGTTTCCAGCATTTAGCCTGTAGGCTTGTATGCTCTGACATTTCAAGCATTCATCTCAACGATATTTGCTTATAACGTTTTAATCTCAAGCGGCACAAAGAATGGGACTGAGATTTGAGATAGTAAAATTGTATTCACGTCCCCTCGGGGAATTGAACCTCATTTTCATCCACAGAGGGAAACTCATGGACACACCGCCCCAAGAGTGACAGCGGCCTCAGGAGAGACCAAGCCGCAGAAAGCAAGGCTTTCACCCATCTGTTTTTTATCGTCCCATTTTAGACTTCAAAACCAGAGTCTGGTTACAGTAAAGAAAGAAGGCATTTGGCCACTCCCCTGTCTGTGTTCGTCCCTCATTGTTTCCCCGTTACCCTGCAGTTTATACTGCCTAACCTCATTCTCCCTGCTAAACTGGAACATTGCTCATCTCAGCTCATTCCTGTCCTGCCGAAAGATCTTCCTCAAGTACCTGGAAAGACAAAAAGGAATGTGGTATTTCAAACGCCTTTCTGGCTGGTTGAGGAAATGGCATGGTGATGTTAACGCTATTTCCTCAGAAACAATTTGAAACTACTTTAAAAAGCTACTTTGGTTGGTTCCAGCAAGTGGCAAAAATTCTCTCAGGCCCCAGAAAGAATCGAACTCAAGACCACTGAGCAAACCACCAAACCACCAAACTGAATTAGAAACTGCAATGTAGAAGATGACTGGATAGCCTGTGCATCATATACCAAGACAATGTAACAAATCCGTTGCAGAGCTGAGGGGGATCATGTGCAGAAGGATAGGAGAATGCACTGCCAAATCAGACAGTGTCCAGGGTGATATGAACAGAGATCTGCCCTGGTTGTCTCGTGAAGAGGATTCAGTGCCTTCACTGCCATGGCCTGTTAATAGTTGACATTTACACTAATAAATATAAAATACTGACTAATCTTTAGCTGCAGAATTATGTCATTGACCAGTCAGAATCGCTTCACTTCAGGTTACTGTTCCACATCAGCAATGTCAGCTGCAATTGCCTGACGTGCAATCGGATTAAAACAAGGAGAGAGGGGAGGTCAGGAAAAGTGAAGGGCCACGGTGGTTTGTGAGAGCTGACTGTAGGCCTAATGGAGCCAGTCCCAATGTGGGTTCTGAAGACTGGTTTTCACTGTTTACCCTGGTACACAAATCACTCCGGATCAATCAACCACAATGACTCTCCTTTGTGTGTTGCCCTTTGCACGTCTCACCTTGGTTGAGTGCCCAGAGGGGATCCATGCATGTTAACTTGGCAAATTTCGCTTAAGTCAGATTTATAGTCTCGTATTAAGAGCATAAACTTTCGGAGCTGAAAGAGATCATCCCCATTCAGTTTGCCCCGCCATTTACTGATCTTGTGTCTGATATCATAATCCTGAACGGCACTTTCTTGCTTTTCCGCATAACCATTGATACCTTTAGTGATTAAAAATATGTTGATCTCACCATTGAATACACTTAATGACCCAGACCTGACAACCCTCTGCTGTAAGGAATTCCACCAATTCACTACCATCTGAGAGAATAAATGCTTCCTCATCTGTCTTAAATGTGCGACACACATTCTGATATTAAGCACTCTGGTACAAGATTGCCCAAACGGAAAGCCAATATTTTTGTGTCCGACATGTTAAATCTCAAAGAAACCTGTATGTTTTAATAATTATTTTTTGTAGTATTGTGTCTGAGCACGTGAAGTCAATGGATTTCAGCACTTTTCTCTTGTTTAGTTTCATCCTTGACGTAAGACTTTCACTGATTCTGACAGAGCTGTCCCCTTTATGCATTTTAATGTCAGGAATTCATGTTCATTCAAGAGTTTGGACAGGAACAATAAAATCCTCATTCCTATTTGGGAATCAAACTGAGAACACAGCAGTTGCAATGCTGAATCCCAAAAAGGAAGGTGCACACAATCCTTGCAAATTTTTGCCTTGCTACTGCTTTTGACCTTTTGTTTCAGTTGCAAAATGATAGTCAGTGAGATTTTAACACCACAGAGAGAGACTTTTCAGCCCATTATATCAATGCCAGTCATCAAACATCTCATTTCTAAACCCAGTTTCCTGCACTTGGCCCATTGCCTCATTTGCTCTGACGTTTCAAGTGCTCATCCAAATAGGTAGTCAATGTTTTGAGGGCATCAGTGGAACTTTCTTCAGCAAACGACAGGAAACATTGTTGTTTGCTGCAACAGGAAATCTATGTTTTCCTCTTTGAAGACAGTTATATAAGCCAAACTCTTTGTTGGAGCTACTTGCTCGTTTTCCTCATGATGCCAAGTGTATTTTAAATCCCACACCGAGTGAGTTTGCCACTAATGACTCTCGCTTTCCAATCTCTCTGCTGACATGAGGTGTGGTGTCTCTCAGGTTAATCCACCACCAGTTTTGGCTCTGTAATGAGAAAGCAGCCCTGTGATCCAGAATGAGTATGGCGACTCAGTGTCAGAATTTGTGATATTGGATCCCTGGGATGCAAACGTTTTATACTCTATTAAATGTATTATATATGTAAGATTTCCTGATCCGAAGTAACAAGAAAGATTCCCTATACATATTACAACAAATAAAATTAAATCTTTACAATAGTGGGCACTTAACCCAGAATTCCGAGCGCTATGCACAGCATTGCTTATCACTGCGCAGGCTCAGTATGTTTCTGCGTGTCAACAGTCTAGAACATGCACAGTCGGAGCGATCCTGAGGAGCAGTCGTTCTTTTCTTTGGCTCCACAAAAGGTAACAATGATACGGAACGGAGGAGGCGATAGACCGGGTGGTAAACAGGGAGGCTTTCTAAACACTTCGTGGATGCGGCAGATCCCGCATAAAGAAATTATCTGTCACCGTTTTACAAAACGGGCCAAATCGAGGCTCCCTCTCAACGGCAGGCCGTGGGTAACGGCCGCCATCTTTGTAGGTGGTTAAAGGGCAGCAGGTCGCATGTGCGGTCACCCCGGGCCAGGGAAGAGAATGTTGTTAATGTCTCTCCTGGACTGACAGGAATTGAGTTTATAAACTGTTTTACAGGGAGCGTTTACACACAGCAAACTCCAAATCAAACATATATTCCCTTCTTTTTAAATTTTGTCCCGGACTGACTGTAATTTTATTTTACAGCATGTTAGAAGAGGATTTGCAGATCGGAAACTCAAACCAAATGATACAACAAGATCTAAGTGAGCCACATTATTATTCATTCATTCAGTACTGGATATTATTGGCCTTTGAATGTAAGTGTTAAGTAAGATAAAAGTAACATCAAATTCCTTCCAGTAACTATTGCCCATTATCTTAAATCTGTGTCTTTCATAGTTTTACTACCAGTGAAAATGAACAGCTGCTTTTTATCTACCTTGTTTAAACCTATCATAAACCCAGACACTTTATCAAATTTCAGCTTAATCTCTTTTGCTCTGTGCAGAACAACTTCAACCTGTTTCTCCAACCTGACCCCACCACTAATTTCCCTCAGTTCTTGAGCCATTCTGATTCATCTGCTTTCAAATCTCTCCTCAGACCCTCCCATCCTTCATGGAGATTACCTGTTTGTGCAAATGCTTTGTGTTCAAGTGGGTGATGCTATGACACAAGGGTAATTGCTCAGTGACATCACCCTGATTGCCAGGTATTTCCTGAGGTGAGAGTTTACTGTGACCCCAGTACTTCAGACTCTGGCATTTGATTTTACAGTTGAACACAATGAAATTATTTCAATATTTTTAATCAGTAATCTACACAACTCGGCTTCTCATGCTGTTGTCAGTTATCTGACTCTGGGGGTAATGCAACTAATTTTATCATCCCCTCGTTAGGTGGCTGGTGTCAAAAACTCCTTTATAGCACCATCCATTGTGCTGGTTCATCTGTGCTCTGCCTGATCAACTCTGTGATTGTCTAACCTGCTCTGTCTCCTACAATGTGTCTAACTGTCTTCGGTATTTTACTGTTACTTCCATTGACTCTCTAAATGAGGTTTTTACAGCTTAAAGTTGCCTGACCATTTATTGATGGCAATTATCTTCCCTTAGTATCTCTCACAATGCTGTTTGGTAAGGAGTTATTCACCAAGTGATGACGAAGGGATTGTGATATGTGTCCAAACCAATGGCAATTAATTAGTATTAATATAGTGCCCTTCACATAATGGAAACGTCTAAACTGTTCCTTGGGAGTGTTATCATGCAAGTTTTGACCCGAGACACATAATGAAATAATAGAGAAGTGACAAAATGTTTTATGGTCAAATAAGTTGTTTTCAACCAGTATTTTAAAGCACAAAACTGACAACAAGAGACGGAGAGGTTTAATGAGGAAATTTCACAGTTTGTGGCCTTGGCAGCTAAAGGTAGAGGGCACCAAATGTGGGACAGTTAAAATCTAGACTGCTGAGGAGGTTGAAATTCGTAGTAATACATAAATCTCAAAGGGAATTTTTAAAAATTAGTTCTCATGGGGTAGTGGGCACCGCTGGCTGGATAAGCAATTACTGGCCCACCTTAATGGCCCTTGAGAGGGCTGGAGGACATTACAGAGATAGATAGAATGGACATGATCAAGAGATTTCAACAGAGGGATGAAATGTTTAAAATTTAGCTGCGTGAGCTCAGTGTGGTGGGTGAACCAGACTTGGTGAATATACTCTCGCGAGTAGCAGAGTTTTGGATGACCTCAGGATTACGTCACTTGGTGAATAACATGCAACTCCTTGCATTACGGTACTATGGGACCTTGTGTGTGAAGATAAAGCTGCTAAGACAGCATCCCATGGTTGGGAGAATGGGCAGTGGTAAAAACCTCATTTCGATACAGTCAGTGAAAGGAAAAATAAAACACTGAACAAAGCCCAAGTACACCAATTAAAAGAGGCAGCGGAAGTTAGACTAGTGCAGAGTGGGGAATGTGAGAGGAAGGTGGGGAGTACATCAGGATAGATAAATCCAGAGGTAACAAAGGAATTGATAAGAGCTTCAGCAGCAGATGAGCAGAGACGAGGAGGAGTTGGGTGATGTTACTGAAGTGGAAGTGGGTAGTCTTGGTGATGATGGGGATATTTGATTGAAAACTCATCTCTGGGTGAAATATTTCACCATGGTTATGACATTTTTGGTTCAGACTCAGGCAGTTACCATGGAGGAGTCAGGATGGTGCGTGACTTGGAGGGAGCTTGGAGGCGGTGGTGTTCACATCCACCTGCCACCATGCTCCTTCTCAATGGTGGAGACTGAGTGTTTGGGAGATTCTGGCAAAGTTCTGGTCAAATTGTAGGTCTAAAATCCATCTTCTTCATTCCCTATCTTCACATAGAAACCAGAGTCTTGTGAGAGATTCTCTCTCACTCTTTTTTGTTTTTTTTTATTTGACATCAATTTCACAGGATATTAGGAGGGGAGGATTTACAAACCAACCATTACACCATGATCTGATGGAATCACCCATTTTGTCACAAACGGGTAAATTTTTTAACGTGGAAGGAAAATACTCCGTTCACAGTGGAGAGAAACTGTATCGGTGTTGTGTGTATGGACAAGGCTCCAGCCAATCATCAGACCTCAGAATCCACAATGTCAGCACACTGGGAAGAAGCTGTGGAAATGTGGGGATTATAGGGAGGAATTCATTTCCTCATCTGACTAGAAAACTCATTGCAGTCACACCACTAACAGACCATTCACCTGCTCAGTGTATGGGAAGGGATTCACTCAGTCATCCAACCTGCTGCAACACCCGTTTGTTCACACTGAGGGGAGATCATTTCAATGCCTGAACTCTGATGAAGGCTCCCGACCCAAAATGTCAACTTTTCTGATGCTGCCTGACCAGCTGTGTTCCTCCAGCTCCACACTGCACCGACAATTCCTTGAACCTCGTTTGGTATTTTGTTGGTATTTCTGCTGATTGTGTCCAAATTAGGTATCCATTCCTGCCCATCTCTAGTTACATGCTGCTGATTTTCCAGCTTTATCTTCCCATGGTCAGGAATTTTGTGTTCTGCACTGGGGATCATTTCTGTTTCTGAGCTAATATTGACTATCAAAAACTTGTTATGACGTAAGGATAGCAATGCAAAACAAATTAGTCTCAGAGCGAAATTGACAATATTGAAAATTGCCCAAATTCTCCTGACCAGATTTTGTGAATAACTCATCTTGGACATCAAGTTTCATGAAAGAAGAAATAAGAATATCTTGAGCAAAATAAACACAATCAACGAGGCAGTCGAATCAATATGTGATTTAAACGCAACCTTCTTCATTTATCACCTCCACTATCACTGATTTCACAGGCACACATATGGCACACATATTAAGCAGAAAATAAAATTAATGTCAGTTCAATTAAACAGTTTCAAACAATGGACATCAAGCCTTTGTGCAATCCTTGGATAATGAGTTGTTCACGGACACGTAAATGTTCATCAAATTTCAAAGTCAGCAGTGAATGTAACAGTTTTGGCAAATTTCCCTAAATATTCTCTTATTTCCTATGTTGCCTTTTGTCAGTGCATTCAACAATCTGATAACTGGATAGAAATTGAGAGATCGAGCAGCCCGTCCAAAAGCTTCCAAAATCATTCTGCTCTTCCTTGACCTTCTTGAACTGCTACAGTCCGTGTGGTGAAGCTCTTCGCAGATTGCTGTTCGCTAAGGAGTTTCAGGATTTTAGTTGGGTTAGTTACAGTTGTTTTGTTTTAATATCCCACATTTAACAGAATAGAAACTTGGAAAATAGCAACTTGAGTAGGCTATTGTGACATTTGATCTGCTGTATTATTTAGTGTGATCATGGCTGATTGTTCAACTCGTAGCCTGTTCCCACTTTAGGCCCATATCATTTGATCGCTTTAACCCTCAGAACGATATGTTCCTCTTGGCTTTAACTGCTTTCAATGGCAGCACATTCCACAAGCTTACCAGTCTCTGAGAAAAGAAATCTTCCCTCATCTTGGTCCTAAACAGCGTAACCTATATCCTTAATCCACGATCCCCTGGTTCTGGAATTCCTCGTCATTGACAGCCTCCTTCCTGTATTTAACTTATTAGTCCTGTTAGAATTTTGTTGATTTCTGTGAGATCTTCCCGCAAAATTCTAAACCCCAGATCATCCTATCTGATCTATTCTGTCATAATATGTCAGTCCTGCCATCCCAGGAATCAGTCTGGTAAACCTTAATTGGACAGCCTCCATAGCCAGAACATCCTTAGTCAGATAAGTATTCCAAAACTGCACACAATGCCCCAAGTGCGGTCTCACTGAGACATCCCTGTTCCTGTTCTCGCTATGAAGCATTTGCTGCCTTCATTTCCTGCCTCTACGTGCATGCTTACATTGAGCGACTTGTGTACAAGGACAAACAGGTCTCAGTTCTCATTTCGCTTTTCTAAATCCAAGCTGACTGACTCTGACGCTGTCCAATCCTGTTACTGTTTTCCAGTGTTGGACTAACTGGTCTATAAGTCCATGTTTTCTCTCCTCCTCCTTTTTTACGTATTGGCTTACATTAGCTCCCCTGCAATCCATAGGAGCTGTTCCAGAGTCTATAGCATTATGAAAGACCCATTAATTTCCTCAATTTAGATTCAAGCCCCAAGTTTCAGAATGCATCCGCCAACTCTCAGGCTACTTTGTTAAGTACTCTGGGGCATATATTATCAGGTGCTGGGATTTGTTGGCTTTTAATCCCATTAATTTTCCCAACATCATTTCCCTATTAATACTGATTTCCTTCACTTCGTGCCTCTCGTGTTCCCCAGCATTTTAGGGATATTATTGATGCCATGATTTGTGATGACAGAACCAAAATATGTAGTTAATTGGTCTGTTCATCTCTTTATTCCACATTCTAACTTCCCCTGTTCCTGATTGTAAGGGACTTGTTTTCATTATCTTTTTTTCTCTCTTTATATCCCTTTTGGCGCTTTTACAATTAGTTTGTGTGTTCCCCGCAAGCTTAACTTTAGACTTTATTTTTCCCTTCTTAACCAATCCCTTGATCCTCTTTCGCTGACATCTGAACTGCTCCCAGTTTTCAGGTCTGCAGCTCTTTTTAGCCAATTTTTACGCTCTTCCTTGGATCCAGTACTATCCCTAATATCCCTTCTTAGCCAAGAAAGGGCCATCGTTCCCGTTTTATTTTGTGCCAGACAGGAATGAACAACAGTTGCAGTTCCTCCAGGTGCTCAAGTGCTTTCTAAATTTTTGTTAACCCCCTTAAAGCTTACGTTCCTCAAGTTATTGCAGCCTGTATGCGCCTCATAACACTGTAATTTCCTCTATTTAGATGTTGGCCCCTTGTCTCAGAATCATCTCTGTTACTCTCCATCTTCATGAATAGGTCTTTACTTTTCCACAAGGGGCCTTTCACAGCCAGATTGCCAATTAATCCGTTTTCATTACAAAATTAAAGAGACGAGTAATGTGGTAACCCTGAGGTTAAAGCATCACCTCAGGCAATGGGCATGGTTAAGATGGTGGGACCTTCGTGGTGACCTCAGCTGTTACAGGAATTGGGCACGTGTTGCCAGTGTCACTCTGTCTCTCAAACCAGCTGTCCAGCCAACTGAGCTGACCCACCCCTGACCATTACACAATACACCATTGATGATGGCCTGGCCTCTCTTTGGGTACTCAATATATCGATCCAGAAAACCATCTCATACACACTGTAGGAATTTCTCCACTATGGTATTGTTCCTGATTTGATTTACTCAATGTATATGCTGAGTGAAGTCACCCATAATAACAATAAGAGCACAAAATATAGGAGCAGAATTAGGCTGTTTGGTCATTTGGCCAATCAAGACTGCTCCATAATTTGATTGTGACTGATATGTTTCTCAACCCCATTCTCCTGCCTTCTCACATAACCATTGGTCCCATTAGCAAGCAAGAACCTTTTTTGTCTCTGTCATAAATACACTCAATTACTGGGCCCCCACAACCCTCTACGACAGTGAATTCCACTGAATCACCACCCTGTGGCTGAAGAAATTCCTCCTCATCTCAGTTCTAAAGGGTCATCCATTTGCTGACAGGCTGTGCCCTCAGGTTCTAGTCTCTCCTACCAGTTGAAACATCTCCATGTCCATCTATCCATGCCTCAGCATTCTGAAAATTTCAAACACATAGAGCCACAGAGTCTGATAGCACGGAAGCAGACCAATCAGCCCAACCAGTCCATGCTGACCATGTTCCAAAACTGATGTAGTCCCATCTGCCTGCCCATAGCCCATGGCTGTCTGAATATTTCTTAATTATGTATTATCCAAATGTCTTTGAAATGTTGTAAACTGTACCTGTATCCACCACTTCCTCTGGAAGTTCATTTCATAGACGAACCACACTCTTGGAAAAAATAATGTTTGCCCCTCATGCCTTTTTTCAATCTTTCACCTGTCACTTTGAAAATATGCCCCTAGTCTTGAAATCCCGTGGGAAAAGACACCTGCCATTCACCTTACCTGTACTCCTCAAGGGCAGGACATAATTAATGGTAGGGCCCGAGGTACCTTTGTACTTAAGATGGTGCCATAAGTGGCAACTTGTAAACTTTTCACTGTATTCATGTGAGTACATGTGACAATAAAGCTAATTCCATTTGATTAAATATATGCCCCTGGTCTTGAAATCCCCACCCCAGAGAAAGGACACCTGCCATTCAACTTATCTTTCCCCCTCAGGATTTTACAAACGTCTGTAAGGTCAACCTCAATGTGCCACACTCCTGTGAAAGGAGTCCCAGCCTGTCTTTATGACTCCATACCTCCATTTCAGCAACATCCTTGGAAATCTCATCTGAAGTCTCTCCAACTTGATAATATCCTTGCTATAACAGGACAACCAGAACTGGGCACAGTACTCCAGAAGAAGCCTCACTGTTGTCCTGTACAACCTCAACATGACATCCCAACTTCTGTACACAATGGTCTGAGCAATGAAGGTGAGCACACTAAACACGTTCTCAACCATCCTGTCTATATGTGATAACAAGGTGTAGAGCTGGATGAACACAGCAGGCCAAGCACCATCATAGGAGCAGGAAGGCTGACGTTTCGG